AAATAACGTGTCAGCTGCACGGCATAACGGCATTTCGCTGCCGCGCGACCACCATCAGTCGTGCGCGGGCTGAGTATATCGCGAGGACGCCCAACCCTACACGGATTCGAACCAGGACCTTATGACTGCAAACCAGATGCGCAGACCACCCGGCCACCGGCCGACGTTTCGAGGCCTACCAACCATTGCCCAGTAAGTCTTCATTCACCCGGTGCTTCCAAAGGTGATGGAGTCAATCACAGCTGAGGCACTAATGGGTAATATAGGCAAATCTAAAATCATGGCGCCGGAGCAACACGGATTCCGTCAGCATCGAGAACGTACTACAAACCTACTGATTGCGCGTCAAAGTTAGGCAGAAATAGCCGATAGCGGGTCCGACACTGATGTCATCTACCACGACTTTTCTTAGTCCTTCGACCGGTTAGATCATCGCATCATTTTCCAAAAGCTGTGAACGCAGAAAAGTGGAAGCACTGTACTTGGATGGATCGGAAATTTCCTCCTTCAGCGGCAGTTTTAAGTTCAGGTTTCGGGCTCGTTTCCTGATCCTATTGATGCAGACTGCGGTGTTTAACAACGGTCAGTGTTGAGACCGCGCATATTCTTGCTCTTGAATAGCGACCTTATTTGTGCCATCAAGTTGAATTTCTTTCTTATTGTCAATGATATTAAGATATGGCGAGTGATCGGAAGTTAGGAAGATCGCGATCCGCTGTAAACGATACTTAGAACGCTCTCGAAAAACCCCGGTCACGCTTATCGCAACCACTTAAAACAGCCGCAACACAAAAATTGAAAGGTTACCAGCTGAAACTGACCACCCAATACAGTGGACAAGAATGCAGCCGGAATTGTTTTTCCTCTGGAGTTTGTCAACCGTGGAAGGTCCTTTTGAGTTTTGTCATTTCTGCATCCACGCAACGCACTTTTAAAAAACAACTCGATGATGCAGTACATCATTTGCATTACTTGAGTTGAATTTTGTTCCTCGAGTGACGATATGACTTAGACAACTATTGTACTCACCAACGACCACGAAATTGGGGTAAAAGGATACATATGTGTGCTAGCGTGGATAATATGGTGAGTCTACAGACGTGCGTTTAGACAAACCATACCATAGGACCTGTCAAGCCTTAGGTTTTTATCCGTAGTATACCATTGTTCGACTGTTCCATCCTCTGCTCTGGGTAGCTGACTGGGCTAGAACTCGCAACGGTTATATGGGCTGTGTCACTGCTAGTAAAAATATAACGGCCAATCGATCCACCGGAATAGTCACTGCATATGAGTGTTAAGACTCGATCTTAGTAGTAAGTCGGCGCGTATTCAAGAAGTGACAGCACAACGTGCGTACTACGGGCAGTGTACAGCCCACGTAATATAAGTGACAAAGAGATGTACGTAGGCATGTGTGCGTGCGTCCGAGCGTGCGGGTCAGGATCAATCAGAGCAGGACAAGGGTTATTTAATGACCTTCGGGTGAACACGTGATATACCTCACCGTCGCGACTAGCGTCAGAGTTTGAGTTAGAAAAGTTTGATCGGTCTGCGCATTCGACTCGATGGCCGAAGCACGGCGTCATTTGTTGGTCTGAATTCTTCACCCATCGCTGTTTGCTTTGTGTCAGAAAGGGAGTCAGATTGCGTTTCGGTTGATGTGTCAGTGTTTCGTGGGCGTACGTGATCCGAATGTCGACGGACGACCCACCCGTCTAGAAACGGCAGGTAGCTTTGATTTCTTAAAGGAACGATTACGGTAGCCGGTTGTCAACATCGCTCATACAGTAACCAAATGTAAAGTGATTGATATTCCTTGAGTGTAACCTCTACCTCTGACTTGTCTAAGGACACAAATTTCTTCTACCGTTCCTCTGCTGCAGCAAGCGGATTGGGAAACAACGAGCGAAGCCTCGTTGTAAGCATTTCGCCGAGTGCAAACTTAATCGCGGATTTACCAGTAATCCCAGTTGGCGTAAAACGGTAGGCGAAAAGAAAGCGATCCAGTATTGTTGGTAAGGTTCATACTCTCACTTTATTAGCCCGTTTTGAAGCTGGGCAATATGGGGCCATTTGACGTGCTGGTATCCGCTGTCGGCGACAAATTTATTGAATTCAGCACTGAAGAAAGGTGAACCATTGTCTATTAATAAAGTAAATGGAAAGCTGAACGCAGGGAAGGGACAGCGCGTTTAGGTAATGCTGACTTCTGATATCGTTTGAGCAACTCGGTGTACATAAGTACACAGAATGTGCAGTAATAAGTAGGGGAAACACTATCCCTTTAACCAGTCCGAAGTAGTCAACACGAATCCGCTACCACGGCTTGTCGGGACAGCGCCAAGGGTGCACTGGACCGGGTGCTTTGTGACGTTGATGGACCTGACAAATGTCGCAATTCCTTAGTAAGTTTTCTATGTCTGAGTCGATTTTGGGCCATCGGCAGTACCCTCTTGTTAATGCTTTTATTCCTGCCACACATGGATGAGCAATGTGGAGTTCTTTGATGATGTGTGGACGCGCGTTGGCCGGAAAGATCAGCCAAGAGCTCCAGAAAATATAGCCGCCGAATAGGCTCAGATCGTTATTAAGCATTATAAACGACTGTAAATCAGCTGTTCCTTGAAAGAGAGAGAAAGCTATTAAAAATCATTTCACCATTGACAGGATGGGGTCTGGGTCCGTCCACTGACGGATTACTGCACTTCATATTGGTGTTATAGTATTTTGATCAGTTCAAACAGAAGATCGTGTTCATGTGTCGTTTCTGTTATCGGCAGACGCCTAAGCACATTAGCTGTGCGGTTTCTGAGGCCCTTAATGTAAACGATATTTTGACTGTGAGCACTCAAGGTTACAGTCCATTTTTGCATTCTGGGTGGTTATTTGGTGAATGACTTTGGTTTTCATAATAACGATAGCAAGGTTGGTGATCCATATGCAGTTGGCAAAAAGACCCCCAAAGGGACCAGTGAAATGCCACTACCCAAAAAATTGAAACCAAGGCTTTCCTATCCAGTGGTGAGTAGTTCTTCACTACCGTTTGTAGGGTGCGCGATGCGAATGCTGCAAGAGGTAAAGAATTGTCGTTTATGTGATGATTCAAAACAACCCCGACCTCCGTAGGGGACGCGCAACACAGAAGGAGGAGTGGCGTATTTTAATCACAACGTATTAACGTTAATGGTGAAGCAAGAGTCCGCTCAGCCATCCTGAAAGCGTGTCCCTGACTAGAAACCCAACATCACAATATATTTTTGTGCAATAGCTCAGTTAATGAAGATAACCCCGTAGATGTATTAGGCAAGGACGGGCGATAGCGGAAGAGTATGCCTAAGAACGAAGAATGATCATCACTACCGGACCGTGATCTTAAGGATCACAAGCCGGCTTTGTAACCTGAGGTCGAGGCGTTGGAAAATGAAAGCGTGCGAATCAGTATCAAATCCCATACGAGTGGAATGCTGTGTGTCACAAGGTTCGATATTTCGGTCCCGTCATCTTCTGGTTTTCATTAAGGAGCTAATGTATTTAACCACTTCACACTGCTTTACGCTAACGACCTCAAAGTGTGGCGACCCATCAAAGCTCCAAATGACCGCATATAGCTTCAAAGCGACCTCGACAATATTCATGAATAGTCAGTCCATAATTGTTCTCAAATCAACGTAAGCAAATGTCGAGTACTACATCTATGACACCAGGTGGTTCCCACCTATAAGTTGGGAGACCAGGATCTCCAGTGCTGGTCTCGTCAAAAAGAACTCTGTGTGCTGATCCAGGAAGACTTTGGTTGCTCGGAACAATTCGAACTAGCATCAAAAATGGGCATGCGAAACTCGAGGCTCCTAACGAGAGCTTTTGGTCACATCGACTCATCTATTTTTTTCTAATTAACTTTCTGCATAAATACGCTCGCACGTGGAATATGCGAGAGAAGTATGGCTGAAGCGGGATCTCACGGTCTTGGAAATTCCACAACGTCGAGCCACTAGAAACGTAAAAAGCCTATACCGCATAAATTAAGAACAGCGCCTGAGTATTTTAGGTGTTTAGTGGATGCTATCAGTGTTTGCTTGATGACCTCATCATGGTTAATCAATTTTAAGCAACCCTAATCATTCGTGTTAGCGGTTGCTAAAGCTCAGCTATAGCAGCAGACGAAGAGGTTACCATCTCAAAATCGGCAGAACAATAAGGTCGGCTGCAGTGTAGACGGAGTTTCTTCATGCTACGTGTTTGCACCATAAGGAATTCACTTCGAAAACTGTTATTTCAACCCCATATTAGCTACGTTTAAAGATCATGTCGACAATGCGCTGATCGCTTCACACCACATCATGTAACACCCAAGAACCATACACACATTCGGAAAGGCAAACTGCATCAAAGTGCACCTGCTATTCTTGGAAAACCAAAAGTTGCATAAAAGCATATGTGAATGATTCAAACAGACAAAAGTTTGCTAGGCAAGTCCACTGCTTTTGATTTCGCTGTTTATAGTTGCTTCCCCTTTCTTTTGAAAACTCTTGGTCACTATCCTGAGGGACATGTTAAGGTTGGGTTTTCCTCGGCAATGTCGTTAGCCAATGAGCACCTACATGTATCCAGCCTTTTTACCCGACAATGTTATTAACGATGGGGTCTTTCGTACAGTTCGTAGTTGCGTCGGCCACCGAGTGTGGTCGAGGATCAGTTCGATTAATGGTATACAACACCCATACACTAGCAACTCTAGAAGAGAAGTGCATAAAAATGGAGTCTCGAAAAAAGGGATCCCCGAAGCTAAACAGCCATGACGCTATGGCAATGAAATAAAACAGAGAAGCATAGAAAATCGATGGGCACAATAGGTAGATCCAACAAATACGTCTCATGTTTAGGCGCCATTAATGAAGAGCTGAAACACCGAGGAAAAGATAGAATTCACCCCTGGACTATTAATGGGATAGGCTAAAAGAGCAAGTATTACTAAAGGTGATTTAAGAAAAACCAACCTGATCACACAGTTCCTGTTGGTTCGAAGGCGTGTAGATAAACAGACCCTTACGCAAGTCACCTCGTTCTGCCTGCACGTCCGAAGCGTTTGAAGATGGTGGACGACAATGCGCAAAATCCACGGTAATACCAATGAGTAATGAGCAGTGATAGACAGAGCAAATGCGAGTCGCTGCATCTACAAAATCCTGGCACTGAAGTAGAAACTGGACAAAACACAAGGAGATCTTGTATCAGTTGGCAACATAGCAGAGTACGATTGTCTGAGTTCGATGAGCAATCAATAAATACATCTAAGGTTATCTTACTAGTGCTCAGAACGTAGTCGCTAAATGGTCCTATGTGTAGCACAGTATTGGCCAGCAGACGAAACCGCGACGTATACGTCGTTAGAACTACAGGCTCAAAACAACCTTCACCGTACAGCAGGTGAATTGAAACATCCTTGCGTAACCCCATTTCGAATGAAGTGCGATAAGGCAAAAAGATGCAAGCGCAAAGGTGTAAGTGTGGTTTGCTTTCGGCTGTGCTGGCAGTGCAACAGAACGGAGCGACACCATCGTCAAAGTCGAAAAAAAGGAGTCATCAATTGCGTGTTAAAAAAATAAGCCAAATGAATTGTGCTATCGTACGCTTCTGAAGTCAACATAGAATGTAATGAGAAATGTCACATACACGAGTAGAAATTAAGGGGGATCTACTGCAGAATGATGGTATTGAACTGGGAACATTTTAAAATCTACTGTCCGGAGTTCACGAGATGAGAACACCCCGGAACATTCGAGTAAGAAAATAGAAGACAACTTCGATCCTGGTACAGCCAAACGCAAACAGTAGTGAGGAGGTAGTTGAGCTAAAAAGGTTGTGTGGGGTAACATCAAATCGCGTGTGGATAAGGACCATGAGTGATTACTACGATTCGACATACGAGTCCAAGTGAACTAAGAGAAAAGACCTCACAGAGCCCACATGGCGGAAGTCACTGTGACATAGTGCCACTAATTTTTCTATCAGATCCTAACGCCGCATCTCTGAACCGAGAACAGGTGCGAGCCGGTTTCAAGGAAAAATAATTAAACCCACTGATCCCAGACAAGTCACCGAGGAGAAAAGCAGAGGCTTGAGAATCTGGATTCTGCTGGGAACTAGGAAGGTGCAAGCCAATGATGGGTAAAGCTAGGAAGAAACGGTCATCTAGCACTTACCGGATGCCTAGTGGTCGTCTGGTCAATTGAAAATTTGAAACGTACCTCTAACACACAGAATCTGTGTAACAGGTAACGTAGATGAGCAGAGGGAAATAAATCAACTGTGTAAACGAAGATAAAAGTGGTGATGGTTACTGCATATAGCAACGGGCCCAGAAACACACCTATGAGAGAAATGGGGGTTCATTTTTGAGAAACGTAACACTTAGCACCACATTTGAAAGGTTCAAGGTATATTAAGTGGTTGTAGGGTCTAGGTTAACACCAGAACGGCATATATGCAGATGAAAGTAGTGGATCGAAGTTAATGAATATGGGCAACTCCTTTGTACGTGTAAATAGTATCCCAACGATTATGAAACAAAGGGAAAGTGTACTAGTAGTCTGACCAGAAAAACTAACTGGACTCACAGTGTAATCGAGCCCTGAAACCGTGGAACAAAGGAAAGAGTGACCATCACGCTGATCGCTCGTCACCAATTTTGCATCTCGTCGGAGTAAGTCCCAGGAGGAAAGTCCTAATGATGAACAGTACGCAAGGGGTGAATAGAACTAAACAGACGATACAACAACAGCAGCAGCAGCAACAACAACAACAACAGCCGTACATCAGCCATTTGGACTGATGCTTCGCTGCCATACAACCATGAGGACCTATGAAATAAAGAATAATAAGAGGGATAGAAGGGAGATTACCTGAAGACCTTAATGCCCTAACCAAACACAGGGTCAAGGCGTTTACACTTTGTGTGGACAACATACCGTCACAAACAGCTGGCTATCGTGCAGAAATAAGACGACATCGGCGAGACAGCTTCCTTGCGGCTTTCACTGCCCCGCGTCATAATCAACCATTACCCCGCAGATAACTCAGCACCAAACACACTTTAGACAGGCAATCCCACTAAGAGACGGAAGCAGACACGCCACTGGTGTCTACTGCGAGCCATGTCCTGTAAAGTCTCGAGCCAAGCACAAGGCGAGTCACGTGAACTCCAGCTAGGAAGGAGAGAAGGATCAACGGCACCCAGTTTGGTCGTCAATAACTTCATTTCGCGCTGCCAAGTCAACTTCTGTCCACCTAGAGCCTTGCGTCATCCTACATCTGGCAGACTAAACAAGGTCTTCCTACGTAAGCGGTGACCAGGCATACGTGCCTAAGCCAACGCAACTTATTTAGTGCTATCTGTGGTTCTAGGGAGATAATATGATTATCATTACCTAGTATTCGCCTATGCACATCATTGTTGCGGACACGCTGTTGCCACCCGACACTAGTAATGCTTCGCAGATAACGACGATCAAAGACTTGAAGGCGCCTCAGATCTTCAGACTGAAGGGGCCAATTTCCACTCCATAGAGCAGGACGGCACACACTGTGGTCCTGAATACACAAACAGACGATTCAAATGACGGCCAAGAGGCTAAGAGAGAACGGGATGATGCACTAAGTATTAGGATGTGGAGCAACACATTCAGTGGGAATTTTCGATTTTCGAGAACTGACTGACTGGCTGAGAGTGGACTCAGCCATTATAGCGCCAGTAATCGATTCGCAAGTAGACCAAGGAGGAGACGGAAACAGATGACGAGATAAAGTCAAGCAAGATTACGACTCAATCAACGAAGAGACGGAGAAAAGCTTACATAGGTGCAACTAGCTGAGAAGGATGGGCAACTGATTTGTCTACAGTTGCATCGAACAAAACGGTTGGTCAAACGTTTGATAAATCAATTCAGTCATCACGGTGTATCAGCATTACCAGCTGGGTTACCTGCATCCATCTGGGATGCTGACACACATCTTCCACCAGTGATGTGATGGGACACGAGCTAGGGCTACTAAAGCGAAACAAGCTGACTGGCGGAGACAATCTGCTACCATCGTTGTTGAAATACACCGGTGGTTTACAAGTGACTGCACTGATCTATCAGTTCAACACCATCATTATCATCATTATACACATTAGCTAGAGGTGGAAGACCTCAGCTACTGTGCCGGAATACATAAGAAGAAAAGACGTACAACAGATGCACGCCAGTTAAGCTACCAGTAGCGGGTGGGCAATGTTTCGGAAAGCTAACAGTCGACTATTGTGCCGAAAAAAGAATTTGTATTATGCTAGGAAATGAGATCGCGGTTGGAGGGGGATGCAAAGAGGGATGGGGAGGGACAAAGAAACTCACAACACGAACGTGACTGAGGTCGGCTCCTAGCCATGTCAGAAAGTGTATCCAGCCAGAGGTGTTCATTGTCCCTGTTCAACACCATTTGGTGCAAGAAGAAAGTACCCTCGGACTGTCATTCGCACATTTCCAAAGGACCGAAGAACTTCTAGTGATAATCGCTGTGATCCTATTAGTCACATGCTAGTTGCCACCAAAATGCACGTCCATCACATTGCGGGCGTAGACAGAAAAGAGGAGTCAATAGGAAATCAGACAAGTCTCCGTCCTAGTAGAAGGTGCAATGAATGCTCTTCCACTCTTCGCTATGTGCCTGAATATCACCAATGTGAGAAGTCCATCATACTTCGCTGCCTTGACTTAAAACCTACCAGTGATCTTGCTACTCATACTAATTTGTGATAGTGCTTAACTTTAGAGGGTGTGCTAGAGAACATCATTGCTAGCTGTAAATCCCTTATACCTCGACTACGGGTTGTGTTAGAGATTAGGAAAAGCTCACCTCAAACCAAGATTGAACTACGACATCCTGTCCGATCAACTGTGTTATCGCGATGATCATAAATGACTAGCTACATTTTACTGCATGTTATGCAGTAATAAAGAAGGAATAAAGAACGGTTTCGAAGGGTAGGTGAAGGTCGGACGATTTGGATATCATTGATCAAAGTCTTTTCAAGCTAGATAAATTGCATTCCACTTTATTTGGTTTGTTCTGCCTACCTGTATGCTCTTCTACTAACTGGCCACGTTGCTTACACTATTTGTGGTTATCTTCGTTAACTTGATTGCGTTTGTAGCATTTGTTGAGTAACGTCTGGACATTTTGTACTTATCGCGGGTTCGTTGCTAACCAACTTATTTCATATGCTAATTTAGCGAAGAGTTATGTCGGCATAGTCGTATGCTTTAACAGATATACTTTATTTGAGAATGTCATCTCAAGAAATCGGCCGTTGTCTTACATCCCTGTGCCTGATGAGCATGATGACAAGTACCTACCAGTTTATTACCCATTACCTCTTCCAAATGGGCTCTAGGAGGCACTTGGTCGTTACTGGAGGGGACGGGGTGCACAGTCCTTGTGGCTGTGCTAGGCTCGAAGAGTGGCTCCACGCACTCAGTGTGGAGCGGACTACGGTCCAGCCACCGCCTTGTGTGGGCATGGTTCCCCAAATACAGCGTGCTTGTGTTTGCCTGTGAAGGAGTGTAGGCCGGCTCCGGTCTCATTACTTCGGGGTTACACTGGATATGGGGTGTGTGGATGGAGCCATGGGTGGTGCGACGCAAGCCAGCCATGGTCCCTCTGTAAGCGTAGGCGTCCTGTGGCTGGTAACAGTGACAGGAAAATCCGAAACCATTTGCCGTCAATCATAGTCAGTAGTCTATAAGATAGAAATAAAGCCAGCGAAAACCATGAAATGGTAGTAATAATTATAGAGACGACAAAGAAAAAAGGATGAAAGTTGCAAAAAAGCTCTTTTGTGTTTTAATCATTGCCATTTTTCACACGCCGTTTTGTTTCTTTTTGTCTGTTTAATGTTTGAAATGCAGACCAAGAAAATCAAGACAAATAGTCAAACACATTTTCTATTGGGCCCAAAAGACTTTGATCATTGCTGTCTGCGAAGCATTGCCAGTGTCTGGTGGTACCAGCATGTCCGCAACGCTGATGTGCATGGTCGAGTACTAGGGGTGATTCTCAAGTTGCTTCCTTAGAACATCTGTTTGCACTAACTTGCGTTTGCCTTGGGCACATACTACGCATGACTGGTCACGGCTTACCAAGAAATGTCCTGTTTTATCTGCCAGTTGTAGAGTGGCGGAAAGCTCGAATTGGGCAAAAGTTGACTTAACCTTGAGAAAGGAAGTCACTGTGTACCAAACTTCGTGTTAGTGGTCCGTCTCTTCTTCCAGGCTGGAGTCTACGTGACGTGCCTTGTGCTTTGTTCGAGACGTTATTGGACATGGTTCGGTTGCTACAGGACAAAGACGTGCATTAAAAGAGTGCGAACAAACAACGCAATAAAAAGACTTGACGCCTTAAGCCTTAAAGAAAAATAACACCAAAAAGCAGGTGTGAGAATTCGGAAAAACAGTGAAAGTGTTACTAACAATCTACTTACCTTTCACATTAAATTTTGCCTTCTCCAAACCAGTAAACAATGAGTGGCGCGTAATTGTTCCACAGAACAATTTGTCACCGATCATATCTTCAATCCGACTGCCCATCCTCAGGTCGACATCCGTTAGTCGACCGAGGCTTTCTCCAATTCGTGACAAGCCGACAGTATCCAAAAGAATTGCACCTATGTTAATAATAAAGGCCAAAGTCAACCATACCATATAAAATCTTCCAAACATTAAATGGAAGAGCTTCTCCCATCGAATTCGATAGGATTTGTGAAGCCACGAGACTGGCGCAGGATCCAACACGTTGAATGCGCACCATCTCACAAAGGCCAATTGACTCTTTGTCTACAGTGATTTCATGGTGATCGATCACTTCCTTTATGCGCCATCCCATCTCAGCCAGTTTTCCAGTGGGAATGTGGTGATCGACAAGGATTAGATCTACGCAAGCTTTAGGTCTGAAACCAAAATCTCCCCCGAATAAGTCGTCCGCGAATATAAGGTCTTCCCAATTAACGTTACATTGACCTAGCCAGTAAATGATTTCAGTTCGTAGAGGCATATCTTCCCGATTAACATAGCATAAGGGAATGACAGTAACATCAGAACCGAGTTGCTTTTCAACTATCCTAGAAAAGCAGTAAAAAGGAAATACCTGTTGCTTGAAGTATGCGTATGCTAACGCACAACTCGTGCTATCCAAATCACAAGCTTCATTTCCGCTAATCACAAGCCAACGACTATTCTCTGCTTCGCGCATCCGTAGTTTGGTCGAGTGTAAAAAGGTATCCATTCTTTCTGAAGATACTATAGCTAAAATTAGAAACGATAAGGGAAACAAAATGTCGTAGAGTTATTCTTCACGGCGCTTCACGCGATCGAAAAATGAAGGAAAACTGATAGGCTACACAAGTGAGGAAAAATGTGGACGATAGGTGAGAAACGCACAGTACGTAAGATTCCAAGATTCCGGAGAACACGTACTCTGTTGCAGTAGTAAGGAACAAACGCGCGGAGCCAGCAAATATCCGATAAAGGACGCTGGGATCCACGAACATACGTATGAAATTCGATAACGAAACCAATGCAATCATCAGCATACCATAAACGGCAGTGAATAAACCGAAGTAACTGATGCTTCGCTGCCGTAAAAACAAAAAGATCCACGAAAAGCAAAATACTGGGAGGAGAACATATCTTACAACCTTAATAACTTAAAGCAAACATTCAGAGTCAACGCGCCCACATTTTATCAACAACATACCGTCACAAACTGCTGACTATGTGACTGAATATTCATTCTTCATGGGTGCATAAAGCGCACGGTTGACTTGATTTGACATGAATAAAAGCCGGTATCGGCAAGACAGCTTTCTTGTGGCTTTCACTGCCACGATTCATAATCAGCCATAAACACAAAGTGAACTCAACATAAAACAAACTTTAAAAAGGTAGACCGATTAGGTGACAACAACAAACACGACACTAATGACGAATGCGAACTATGTCCAGCAACACCAGGAGCTAAGCACAAGGTTGGTCGCGAAGAATCCGTACTGAAAGGAAAGGCAGCAAGTTGATATATATATATATATATATATATATATATATATATATATATATACAGTAGAGTGCCCATACTGAAGCTGAGGTTGCATACATGATGCTTCATCACCGCAGTTGGGCTAAAACAACTTACACTTTAACTAAGTCTTTTCAAGCTAGATAAATTGCATTCCACTTTATTTGGTTTGTTCTGCCTACCTGTATGCTCTTCTACTAACTGGCCACGTTGCTTACACTATTTGTGGTTATCTTCGTTAACTTGATTGCGTTTGTAGCATTTGTTGAGTAACGTCTGGACATTTTGTACTTACCGCGGATTCGTTGCTAACCAACTTACTTCATATGCTAATTTAGCGAAGAGTTATGTCGGCATAGTCGTATGCTTTAACAGATATACTTTATTTGAGAATGTCATCTCAAGAAATCGGCCGTTGTCTTACATCCCTGTGCCTGATGAGCATGATGACAGGTACCTACCAGTTTATTACCCATTACCTCTTCCAAACGGGCTCTAGGAGGCACTTGGTTGTTACTGGAGGGGACGGGGTGCACAGTCCTTGTGGCTGTGCTAGGCTCGAAGAGTGGCTCCACGCACTCAGTGTGGAGCGGACTACGGTCCAGCCACCGCCTTGTGTGGGCATGGTTACCCAAATACAGCGTGCTTGTGTTTGATTGTGAAGGAGTGTAGGCCGGCTCCGTTGATGAAACATGGCTCCCATCCACATGCCACCCGGTCTCATTACTTCGGGGTTACACTGGATATGGGGTGTGTGGATGGAGCCATGGGTGGTGCGACGCAAGCCAGCCATGGTCCCTCTGTAAGCGTAGGCGTCCTGTGGCTGGTAACAGTGACAGGCAAATCCGAAACCATTTGCCGCCAATCATAGTCAGTAGTCTATAAGATAGAAATAAAGCCAGCGAAAACCATGAAATGGTAGTAATAATTATAGAGACGACAAAGAAAAAAGGATGAAAGTTGCAAAAAAGCTCTTTTGTTTTTGAATCATTGCCATTTTTCACACGCCGTTTTGTTTCTTTTTGTCTGTTTAATGTTTGAAATGTAGACCAAGAAAATCAAGACAAATAGTCAAACTCATTTTCTATTGGGCCCGGTTCTGCATCATCTCCGTAAGAGTTTCCAGCCAGTGGTGTACTTCAGCTTTGATCTCCCAGCCAGGAAGACGCACGGGAACTACGACAGCTAAACTGGAAGTCAGCGCTTTAATCGTTTGACGCCGACCACCGCGCGATTTCTTTCAGTCTGGTCCTGTGCGAGCGGAGAGCGCGTCGGGGCAGCCGTTCGCATGGCATACGTAAAACGTGGCCCAGCCATCTCAGTTAGCACAGCGGTACCAGTCTGTCAAGTGGAAGTCCCGTGTTAGCCAAGACGCGACGTCTAACATCGTCGTTGCAAAACGTGATTCATTCACCATACTCGAGCTATTTGCTGCAGACATCCATTGTCAAAGACCGAAATCCGATGCAAGCCATGCACACTAATCGACCTGGACTCACTCCCAGACAGCAGTACCGCGCGAACACAGGCATTATCAACAGTGAAACGCCACGGCGTCATCACAGATGCCTCAAGATGGCGAACGCCGAACGAGCTTTGGTAATGCAGAGAGAAATCTCTCTTCAAATGCTACTATCAGCAGAAACAGCTTCCCAGGTAAACAGTTGGCTACTTGTTCAACCTGCGTACCTTGAAGAGAGAGAGCACTGGTGCAGGTGGATGCCAATCCAGAACCAGGACTTTGCATTTCGTAGAGGCAAAGGTCATGCCATATTTTGGTGCTTCAATCGCCAAGCGGTTTAGAACAGCCTGTGTGCTCTGTGCGTCATCACCAAGCAAGGCAATATCATCGGCATAATCTAACTCGGTCACACGGTTGCCAGGAAGGAGCATTACATCAGAATCCTGAAAGCCCTCGAGAGCGTTTAAAAGGACATCCTCGATCACAAAATTGAAGAGAAACGGGGACGCGGGGCAACTCTGTCGTACACCGTTAGTGACGGCAAAAGGTGAAGAGAGCTTACCGTAAGCCCTCACTTTACCTGAGACATTGCAATATAATGCTTGAAGGATGGCGATATACTTTTCGGGTACTCCATTCCTTTGTAAGCAACGCCATAAAGCTGGCCGATCGACGGAGTCGAAAGCAGCTCGGATGTCCAGAAAACAACGGTAGTGGGCTGGCGGTAAAGATGACGCGTTTCAAGGAGTTGGCGGAGCGTAAACAAGTGGTCTATACACCCTCGACCGGGGCGGAAACCAGCCTGTTCTTCACGGGAGCGCAATTCTCGAATCGGGGTTAGTCTGCGGAGTAGAATGGATGTTAACAGCTTGGAGGCAACGGACATTAGACTGATTCCTCGGTGGTTAGCGCATAGGGTACGGGCACCTTTCTTGAAGATCGGGACGATAATTGACTCGCCCCAAGCGGATGGAACTGTTTCTTCACACCAGATCTTAGAGAACAGAGCTGTTAGCTGGTTGACAATTGCTTCGCCACCGAACTTGAACAGCTCCGGAGGAAGTCCGTCTGGGCCAGCAGACTTGAATCGCTTCAAGTGTCGGAGCTCAAGGCAGACCTCAGCTTCAGTGGGTGGTTCCAATGAGACGTTCCAAGGCGCGCAACTAGGTATACTCGTTAGGCTCGCTGGCGGAGGAGGCCAGCTGAATTGAGTGCGGAAGTGTTCAGCCCAGCGGTCCGTGCGCCTGTGTAAGTTGGTGAACGGCGTTCCGTCAACCTCGCAAATAGACTGACACCAGATATTTTGTGGCCAGTGGCCCGAATGACCTGGAAGAGCTTGCGAAAGCTTCCAGAGAGGGTTGCCGTTTCCATCTCTAAGGTGCGCTGGGACCACCAAGTTTCGCGATCAGCTCGCAGGCTTTGCTTAAGTTGTTGGATGAGGCTGCAACGCATTGCACTGCTATTTGACTCGGTCAGGAGAGCTCTACGACGGTTAAACAATTCCAGTGTGCGAAAATACAGTCCCCTCAGAGAGGGCCTTGTGGTTCCGCGGTTTAAATGACTGGAAGATAGCATCACTTCACGCAGGAAGCACCAATGATTTTCGTTGACTCGAGATGGAGCACCAATGAATGCATGCGACAAGGAAACTTGATAAGCTGATCGAATAGAGGTCAGGTAACCTGTTGGTGTCCAGCGTATGGAGCTTTCGTTTTGAGGAACCACCGAAGCGCATGCAGATGTCCGCGCAGACCAAAGCATGATCTGAATCGAGGTACGTAGACCAAATCGATCTACAATCCCGGACGCTGCCTCGCCATCTAAAGCTGATTGCAATGTGATCTATTTGTGACCACGCTTGCGTTGGTGAAGGAGGACGCCAGGTGGCTGCACGTCTTCTGGTATGCCTAAAGTTCGTACTTGAGAGAAAGAGACGGTGGTCTTCGCATAACATAAGAAGTCTATCACCGTTGTCAGAACGACTCTCATCAAGCGCGTGACTGCCACCAAGATGACGTTCGCACGGAAGCAGGCGACCTACTCGTGCATTGAGATCTCCGGCAAGGACGATGACATCTGACTTTTCGGCCTTGTTCAAAAGGTTGTGGAGTCCACGATAAAAGTCATCCTTAACCGATGCACAGCTGCAGTCGGTTGGAGCGTAGGCAGAAACGACAAACAAATTGCGCCTCTCTTCACGATGTCTGTTGATTCTACATGAGCCTTGAAGCCGAACCGCACACAGCCGGCTGTCGATTGGAAACCAGTCGAGTAATGCAGCCTCCGCTTTGTCACTCAATGCGATACCGACACCAGCTAAGCCGGCTGCTGCTGCCTCCATGTCACTAGACAGACGTAGGTAATATGTGGTTTCAAGAGCAGCCGGGGACGACAACTTAACCACGGTGCTGGGATCCTGCAATCGAGTCTCTGAAAGGCAACAAACATCGATGGCGAGGGACTCTAGAGTGCGCGCCAGGCCAGCCTGTTGTCCAATCTGTAGGAGGGTCCGAACATTGAACGCTGCCAGGCGGAATGAAGTACGGGGTCGAAGGATAGATGATGGCCGGACGATTTGGATATCAGCGAGACGGGCATTGGAAGTAGATTCAACAGGTTGTGGATTATCAACAAGAGAAAAGTTGGCGTGTGATGGAGAAGCACGAGTAGCAGGGAAAGTAGCAGCAGAAGTGAGCGACGTAGTAATTGCGAAATCCATGGTTTTCACAGAGGACACGATACTACCCGGTTGTCAAGTCGTAGTAGGGA